GTGGGAGAGAGGATAGTAGGCATTCATATGGAGTAAAATTGTAAATGAGGGGATGATGGGGAGGAGGAGGAGGAGGGAGGAGGGGAAGAGGAGGAGGAGGGGGAGTGAGGAGGAGGAATGAGGAGGAGGAGGAGGAGGAGGAGGAGGGGAAGAGGAGGAGGAGGAGGAGGAGGAGGAGCAGGAGGAGGGAGGAGGAGAAGGAGAAGGATAAGGAGGGTAAAGGCGCGAAGGAATACGAGGGCGAGGAGGAGGAGGAGGAGGAGGAGGAGGAGGAGGAGGAGGACGACGACGAGGGCCAGAAGGACGATGAAGACAAGGAGCTCGTGTGGGGCCCATATGACTGGGCAGGGAATGTTTCGCCTCCACCCTCCACCTGTTTCCCATCCCTCCTGCGTTGGGTTCTCGTTTTGAATGAAGCGCTGTGGTCTCCGTCCTCCCGCCTCCCCCTCCTCTCCTCCCGTCTCCCTTCCTCGCCTCTTCCCTCCTATGCCCCTTACCTCGCTCGCTCCTGCGTGCCAGCTTGCCTCCTACCTGGTCATCCCTTGGGGCTGCGATCTGCGAAACCGTCGCCACTTTCGAGGGCCGCTGGGGGGTCCAGCGGAGTGGGGCCTTACGCAGATTCAGATTAGACTTCACCATCCCTGGGGGGCTGCGATCTGCGAAACTGTCGCCACTTTCGAGGGCTGCTGGGGGGTCCAGCGGAGTGGGGCCTTACGCAGATTCAGATTAGACCTCACCATCCCTGGCGGGGTACGATCTGCGAAACTATCGCCACTTTCGAGGGCTGCTGGGGGGTCCAGCGGAGTGGGGCCTTACGCAGACTCAGATTAGACCTCACCATCCCTGGGGGGCTGCAATCAGCGAAACTGTCGACACTTTCGAGTGCTGCTGGGGGGTCCAGGGGTCCAGCGGCGTGGGGCCTCACGCAGATTCCTCTCCTTCTCCCTCTCTATATTTATATGTATATGTATATGTATATATATATATATATATATATATATGTATTATCATATGCACCTGCGTTACAAAAGTTTCCGTATGACTTGATATTCAATCATCTTACGTTGGCACGGCAACGTCCCGTCCGGTGGGTTTCCTAAAACCGTGTGTTTTACGTCGGGGTTCCCAACTACCCCGTTTTTATAATATATATATATACACACACACTATATAACCGGAGGAAATCTCAGACTTAGAAATCCCGGATCTTTGATCCGACCGCCAGCACAACCTGAAGGATGTGATGGAGGTAGTTCGGAGGTTGTGCTGGAGGTTGTGATGGACGTTGTGCTGGAGGTCGTGCTGGAGGTCGTGCTGGAGGTTGTGCTGGAGGTTGTGCTGGAGGTTGTGCTGGAGGTTGTGATGGAGGTTGTGCTGGAGGTTGTGCTGCAGGTTATGCTGGACGTTGTGATGGAAGTTGTGCTGGAGGTTGTGCTGGAGGTTGTGCTGGAGGTTGTGCTGGAGATTGTTGTGATAGAGGTTGTGCTGGCGGTTGTGCTGGAGGTTGTTGTGATGGAGGTTGTGCTGGCGGTTGTGCTGGAGGTTGTGCTGGAGGTTGTGCTGGAGGTTGTGCTGGAGGTCTGGGTTTTCAACTTTTAAAAATTTGAAAGTTGAAACTTTGCAAACTTTGAAAGCTTGCGTTTTTCAAGGCATCAAATTTTGAAATTATGAAGTTTGAGAATTTGGCACTTCGAAATGCATGGATTTCAAACTTTCAAACTTTTTGTTCTTTCTCAAACTTTCAAACTTTCAAACTTTCAAAGTTTGTTTTTTCCTCAAACTTTAAAATATAACTTTTAAAATTTTGAAAGTGTGAAAGTTTGAAAGGTTGCACGTTTGAAAATTTGAAAGTTTGAAAGGTTGCAAAATTGAAAGTTTAGAGGTTTGCGGGAACGCGCCTGTGCAGAAGTTTGTCTGTTCGCCCAAGTTGAGAATTCTTGCGGGTTTCCTTCAAAGCTTGCTTTTGTAACTCAGGGAAGGGGAACAAGGACGCTGCGGCGGACTACCTCCAATCCTCCTTGCGGACCGTCGTCGACGACGTCTTCGCGGCTCGGATTCGTCGTTTTCGTTCATACTCAAGCGGAGGACGGGGAGGAGGAGGAAGAGGAGGAGCAGGAGGAGGAGGAGGAAAGGGAAAGGCAGGGATTCAAGAGAATCAGGGCGAGGTATGGGGGACAGCGTGGCGCATTCGACCTGCAGGAATATACACTATCATAATTGTTTTCCTTGGTATCGGGTCACACCTCGTCGCTACGGCTGGGCGCGGCTCGAAGGTGTCTTGTGATGTGCGTCGGTGCTCTGCCCGCCCCACTGATCAAGGCACGCCTGGTTGACGTAATGTTTTTCCTCATTACGCCAACCAGTATTTTTCATTGCTCTCCAAAAAAACTTCGGACCCATATTGTTTTGAGGTTTTGAGGACGTCGCCGGAATACATCCCGCGAAGCCAACGAGAGGAAGAGGAATACGAGGATGAGGAGTAGGAAGAGCCTTGGGGGAGAGTTGTTTGGATGGTCACGGAGAAGAGAGTATGACGGGGGAAATTGACAACGTGCAAACCAGACGGGGTCGCATACCTTTACAAATTCGTGTCCTCGAAGTCAAACGCTCGCAAAATTTTCAAACATGTGTTTTAGCATTTTCTGGAGATTGACGCCGGGGACCACACTGATTTGCTTGAGTGTCGGGTTTCCGTATCGTGTTGCAGAACAGAGGGTTCTGCCAGGACGTCGCTATTGAAATGCGCGCTCGCACGCGCCACGCCGCAGGCACACCGCGGGCGCACCGCCAGCACACCGGGCACAAAAGCGCACCGACACGCACAAACACGTGGAGCCAATTATTTGATTTGAACGAGACGTCTGCATGTTTTCGGCGCGTGAGTGGAACTTGCTCAGCAGGCTAGCGCGGGGGAGTTTGTCCCAGTTCCCTTTAAGAGGAAGACAACTGTTTCCCCCAAGCCGGCCCGCGAAACGAGCTTCGCCAGCGCACCAAAAAACATGCCGACGTCTTCCATAAATAACGCAAGTGGTATCACGTGTTCATGCGTGTCGGTGCGTTTTTGTGCCTGGTGTGCAGATGGTGTGCCCGCGGTGTGCCTGCGGTGCGGCTTCGGACAAATCGTATTCGTCCGATTTTCCATGGCTGCCCTCATGAGAACGAATGAGCTGCAATCCAAGAAATTGTTTCCGCGCTGGTCGAGGATTGGTTTTCGGAAGCCCCCGGAGGGTTGCGCTCCGAACTCCTCATGTCGGTTATCCCTCCCCTGGCGCTCCCACCCCCCGCTCTTCGCATACCCATACGCCGCGTGCTCGAGCAGCAGGTGGACACGAAGATGGCTCAATATCGACAGTGGAGCTTGCAACTAAACTGTTAAATCATGAATCAACTTCGGCCCGCACATTCGTTCTGAAACTGATCATTCTACTGAACAAAGGACCGCGTGACAGAGCTGAAGGTGGCCCAAAGTATTGCAAACTACAGCCGTCAAAGCTCTCAAAGAAGCCGAGGGGGCCAGAAAACAAGATGCGCACCCCCGGGCGGACACCTCCTCGTCCTCCTCCTCCTCCTCCTCCTCCTCCTCCTCCTTCTCCCCGCCATCCTCCGTCACCAGCCTCCTCCTCCTGCGCCTCCTCCTCGTTCTTCTCGTGGGGCGTCCCAGGGTGGCACAAGAAAACGGAAAGCAAGATGCGCAACTTCGGGCTGTAACCTACTGCTCATCCTGCTGCTCCCGTTTTCGCCCTTCGCTTCATCGGGGCTGTGCGGGGGAAAACAACAGGAGCAAGATGCGTGCTGAAATCCTCCTTCCCTCGTAGTCCTCCTCCCCGTCCTCATGTGCTCCTCTTCCACCTCACCCCTCTCCTCCTCCTCCTCCTCCTCTACCTTTCCTCTCCTCCATCCTCCCCTCTTCCTCCTTCTCCTCCGCCTTCTCCTCCTCCTCCTCTCCTCCTCCTCCCTCTCCTCCTCCTCCTCCTCCTCCTCCTCCTCCTCCTCCTCCTCCTCCTCCTCCTCCTCTTCCTCACCACCATCATCATCATCAGCGGCATCAACATCATCATCCTCCTCTTTCTCCTCCTGCTCAGCATCATCATCAGCAACGCCATCAGCATCAGCATCAGCATCAACATGAGAATCATACTGCTCCTACTCCTCCGTCTTCTCCCCGCCGCCCACCGTCACCAGCCTCCTCCTCCTGCGCCTCCTCCTCCTCCTCCTCATGGGGCGTCCCCGTCGTCCTCTTCCTCTTTCTCCTCCTGCTCAGCATCATCATCATCAACACCATCAGCATCAGCATCAGCATCAGCATCATCATGAGTGCCATACTGCTCCTCCTGCTCCTCCTCCGTCTTCTCCCCGCCATCCACCGTCACCAACCTCCTCCTCCTGCGCCTCATTCTCCTCCTCCCCCTCCTCATGGGGCGTCCCCGGGGTGAAAAAAAACGGAAAGCAAGATGCGCAATTCGAACTGGCACATTTTGTTGATCCTGTTCCTCCTGTTTTCGTCCTTATCCTCGTGGGGGCCTTGCGGGGGAAAACAAACAGGAGCAAGGCGGCAAAGTGTGATGGAGCACAAGATGGCCTCGAAGATGGCACTGGATAGCCCAAGTAAGGAACACAAGTATACAGGAAGTTCAGGGGGAGGGGGGACACCTGCAAAAAAATCGTGGACCCGCAGATTCCTTTATGAAGTCGTTATGTTTCCAGGACCCGGCGCCGCGTGCTCGAGCACAGTATGGCACCCAACATGACATGATTGTCGGCCATGCCCTGACCTATCACCGAGCCTAACGCGTTGCCACCTGACGTCGCTTCGCAAGTGTGTAGTGTGGATGCAGTCTCTGAGCGGGGGCTACAGTGCCCAGAGCCATTGTCGCACGACTACGGCTGAAACGTACGAATGGGTTGGGTACGTCACAGGGTAAGTCCATCCTCCTCCGCCTTCTATTGCCGTTTTGGCTCAAAACCTGGCTTGAACATCGCAATTCCGCACTTAAGCCGTCATGGGCGGCAAGAGGGCAGCGCCGAAGGGCGCGGCGGTGGCGAAGGCGTCGCCAGATGCCGCTAGCAGGGCGACCACAGAGCTGCAGCCAGCCAAGAGGACCAAGATTGCGACCAAGAAGGCGACCGTGCCGGCGGGCGTGATGAACAGCGACATCATCCAGACGATCAGCAGCATCGAGCAACGCATCAAGGACCACGCCGTCTTCCAGGGGGTCTCCAAAGCTCCACCTCTGGAGCTCGTGCAGAGGGCTGACCCTGAGAACCCTTTGGAATGGGGATCAGCAGCGGGATTTGACCCTGCCGCGTTCAAGAGGGCGTTTCCAGCAAAAGGAGAGTACCGATGCAATCACTCAATCCTCGTGTTCAAGACATTGCAGACCTCCACCAAGAAGACGCCCATCCAGTGGAAGAAGGTCGTGATGCTGAAGGGGCATTTCTGGGGCCAGCCGCCTACAAATGGTTTCACAGATGCCATGACGTTCTGTGGAGCTGTTCGCACAGACGAAGACCCTGACACAATGCATGGTGAGGTTCAGCTGATCAGTCCCATCGAAATGATGTGGTCTTTACTGCTGGCAGTCGATGAGGCGATCGCTAATGGGGAGCCTGAGGAGGTGCTGCTGAAGTGGTGCTCTACGCTGGTCAGCGTCCCTTGCCGCTTCATCATCAGCGACAACCAGAGCGACCGGCACTGGAAGCACATGCAGACCAGGGAGGACATCGCGCAACTAGGCGCGATGGTGAAGAGGACATCCGTGGAGCGCGGCTTCGACGTCATGGAGGCCAAGGAGATGGCGGAGGATGGGAAGGGCGGCGTCACGCTCAGCGCCAGTGCCTGCTCTGAGCTCTGGAAGAGCAACGTGAGGTTGGCCCACAATTCAGAGCCTGTCAAGCCAGCGTTCGTAGATGCAGTATTCACGGTTTTTCAGCGCTTGATGGCCGACGACGTGTGCAAGCAGATGGTTCTAGCTTCGGAGGTCGACTTCGAGGGTGCGTTCACGATGTACAAGCTCGAGGCGGTTGTGAAGCGATGCGGCTCCATCGAGCTCATCAGGTGGACCGTGTCCATGTTGTACCACCAGCTGCAGAACGGGGATCTACTGCTTACGGACCTTTCGCCCAGGCAATATACGGGCCGCGGTAATCCTGGCAACAAGGGTATCTTGGACTTGGTGGTCGCCAAGCACGAGGTGGCGACCTTCATGGCCGAGGACGCCAAGTCCCGCTCTTTCGACGAGCAGGCTGGGGGCCCACGCGTCACCCGCCAATCTGGTCATCGCCACTACCTCTCTTGCATCCTCGGACAGGGTGATCGACAGAGGTTTAGGGGCGATGACCAGCTTGAGGAGTGAACTGAGGGTCCCCTCGCATGTTGTCACGAAGTTCGCGCTGTGGACCGGCGGTGTGCACTTGTACTATGCCGACGTCGGCCCGTGGGATCCAGCCAGGAAGCAGTTCGACACTGACGCGATGTGGATCAGCACCATGAGCTCGTCAGCCCAGAGTCTGGCAAGGCTGGGGGGAGGAGGAGGAGGGGGAGGAGGAGGAGGAGGAGGAGAAGGAACATGGGGGAGGAGGAGAAGGAGGAGGAGGAGGAGGAGAGAGAGATGGGAGCAGGGAGGAGGCGGAGTACGAGATGGAGGAGGAGCAGGAGGAGGAGGAGGATGCGAACGGCGGGCGCCCTTCCCCTCCTCCCTCCTCCCCACCCTCGCCTCCAGGAGGAGAGTCATCGCGTCTGCCCGCCTGGGCTGGCGGGTAGACTGGATGAGTCTCCCGAAGTAAGGCTTTGGGGGAACACCGTCGTGGGCCACGTGCGCGACAGCCAGCTCAAGGCGCGCAAGATCGCGGGGAACCCGCTCTCTGAGGGCTTCTTTGGGAAGTCGCCGTTCAAGGATGCGATCGAGGGGGTCTACTCGGAGCTGGAGAAGGAGGATCTGGGGAAACCTCGAGTGCAAGGAGACGGAGAGATCACCCTCAAGGATGTCGAGAAGGCGAGCGAGGATGCATCTGGCTCCTCGACGATCATCACCATCGGCATGGGCAACACCAGTGCGAGCGCAGATGAGCTGGCCAAGTGGACCGACTACGCCCGGAAGATCTACTCTACGCGCGTCAAGCTTGTGGTGGACCCTGGTTCGGCACAAGGCGTCAGCGAGGTCATCGAGATGTCGGCCCTGAGCAACGTGGCGGACAAAATCAAGTCGACGACGACGCTCATCCCTGTCATGTACGACCAGAAACTCGCTGGCATGGCATCGGCTAGAAGCCATATCCGCATCGTCCCCTTGCGTGAAGGCCACTTGAGCTACATGGTGAAGGGCGTTTTGAAGGCCACTGCCCCTCTGAACCAGATGCCGAAGACCCACGCCTTCTACATCCTCGACGGCACCGTGCATGGGAACGAGGCGAAAGTCGCGAGAGCGTTCCAGGGGGAAGACGGCAAGGCCATTCCCAAGGAGCTGGGATTGCATATGGGGGATCACCTCGTTCCTCTGGTCTCGCCCTGCATTGTTCGGGGAGGGGCGGGAGGGTCGAATTGATGCTCCGATGCACGTCCCATTGAGGAGAAACGCTTGCAGTACGTGATGTCGACGGAATCGTCGCTGCGCAAGCGGCGGTCCATCGTCAGGGGCAGCTCGCAACTTCCACTGGTTGAGTACCGCAATATCTTCGCGCACCCGGAGACGGAGTTTCAGGAGAAGGACCGTGCCAAGTGCGCTGGTACAACCAAGGGCGGTGTCCTGGGGCCCTTCGACGTTCCCGACAACAGCAAGGAGAACGTTTGGCACGTGCAGCACTCCAAGAAGCTCAAGATGTACGCAGCAGGCTTCATCGAAGTCGGCAAGGCAGTTGCGGGCGACATCCCTGAGGACGACCCCGCTCCCAAGCAGGCAGAGCAGGTCCCGTTCTGCTACCGCGGCAACTCGCAGGACCTCTACAAAGAGCTCGGCCGCGCGGTCTCGGCGCCAGGATGGATTGATTTGACCTGCTGCGACGGAGGCTTGGCATTGCACTGTATCAAAGAGAAGAAGCCGTACCTTGGCTTCTGCTTCTCGCAAGATCACCGCGATGCTCTGGAGACCTACCTCATCGATCAGATATTCAAGTGCTTCCAGCGGGCAGACGACGAGCTGCGCGAGCCTGACCTGGCCAAGCTCTTCAATCAGAAGGATGACGACGACGAGCCGAAGAAGGACCCCGCCAAGCCCAAGAGCAAGCCTAAGGGCAAGCCTAAGGGCAAGCCCAAGGCAGGAGCGGCTGCCTTGTCTAAAGCCGAGCTGCTCAACAAGCTGCAGGAGCTGGACGACAGCGATGGCCCCGACGGCGAGGGTGACGAGGGCGATGAGGATGACGAGCAGTGATGTCTATAGGCCAGTCTTGCGGCAGCTACTTCCGTTCGAGATCCTGGATATGGGAGGAGGGGTGGATGTAGTTCAGATAAAACATCAGAGTGCTAAGTTGTCCAGGGGATCGACGAGCGCACGTAGGCAAGCACCTTGTATACAGGTATACGTGGCCACCGTGTAGTGGCGTCAAGCAATGTTTGCTGAGGGTTGCAGACGCCGTTCCCTGACGTGCTACCACCAATGTACCCTCATTGGTAGCCTAGCGTCTGACGCGCCCATGTGCCAGGACGTATCAGGATTCTGGCATCGTCCCTGGGCGCGTGGCATGTAGGCGCGCAGGTTTTCAGATAGTGCTCCGCGCTTGTCGTATTCGTTTTTTTACCGAAGTTCTGCGCGCATGCTGACGAATGGGTATCAGACCCGTTTGCTGGCTATTCTGCGCCAGCGACGTAAGAGTCGTCTTGAGTTCAAGCCGTAACACACGTTCGAAGTGAGTAAAGATCAGGCTTGCTGATTCGTCACCTCCGGAGGTCCTGGATGAGCCCACGCGCTGCCATTCCAATGCCCTGCTCCTGCGCCTCCTCCTCCTCCTCCTCCTCCTCCTCCTCCTCCTCCTTTCCTCCTCCCCCTCCTCCTCCTCCCCCTCCTCCTCATCCCCGCGCCCGCGCCCTCGTGCCCCTTCTAACCCTCAGTATCCCCTTGCGCCCCCAACACGGCAGCGGGGCCATTGAATTTCGCAATGCTGCGACTCGGAAGGGGCGTCGAAAACGCCAGCTGGCGTCGCGCGGGCCCTCCTGGAACAAAACAGCGGGCGAACAAAACAGCGGCCCCCGAGGGGGATTTCAAAAACAAGCGTTTCGCCTGAGCCATCCTCAATGTTTTATCCGCCGGCCCACCTCGACCTCGATATTTCCCAGGGAAAGAATCCGCCGGCCCACCTCAGTTGAGGCGCCGGGGACAGGTTTACTAACTAAAAGAGAACCCTGGGCTGGCGCCCTTTCCGGGAACAAAAATAAAACGGAAACAGATGGGGAAAAGTAGGACACCACCGATTAGGTCGAGCCTTGCCCTCCTTCTCCTCGCCTCCTGCTGCTGCCCCTCTTCCTCCTCATTCGCATCGCCCTTATCCAATGCCGCGGCAATGTCCAAGGGCCCGCTCGAGCTTCGTTTTTTAACGAAAACGAAACGCGAACAGAAAACACCATTCAGACTGAGCCCTGGAGGAGGGTGACGCGGGGCACGAGAAGGAGGAGGAGGAAGCGGAAGTGCGGAGCAGGAAGAGGAATAAGAAGAGGAGGAGTCGGAGGATGAGGAGCGGAGGAGGATGCGAACGGCGGTCACCCCCCAGTCCCAGGGAGACGCTGCTGGCGTCGCAGCTGCGGCCGAAGGCGGCTGGCCCCCTCCTGCATCCCAAGACTACCCAACACGTCTGCAACAAAGGCGATGGGTCACTAACCCAAGCAACCCCAATCTCCGAAAACATTTCGGCCCAAGCTATTGCTCGGACACGGCTACCATTCGCAGCACATCGAGCATGGATTTAGACTGGTCATTCGAGCTGGCGGCTGTACAGAGGAGGCTTCATGGTTCTCCGAAAAAGGCTGTGCGCAAGAGCATCATCAAGCAGGACTCTAAGGCCTGCCAGCAGAGCAAGAGACAGCACATGAACAGTTCTAGACCCAGCCAGCCTGCGAACGAGCACCGTAAGCCAACCTGGAGAGTTCAGCCCACCTTGAGACTGAGTTGCCCAAGTGATTACACCATATCCGCTCCACTCATGGTCGGTAGCATGTGTGCTGGCATGCTCAGCGAACAATGGGCGATATCTCGAGAGCATGTCCACGTCTTTGCTGCGGAGACGAACCAACATGCACGCTACTTCATCTCCAAGACAGCGCACGTGCTCAAGATGCTGGTGGACGTCACCAAGCCGACCTTCCACCAAGCAGCGCCTCCTTGCGAGCTGCTGGTGGCAGGATTTCCCTGCCAGCCATTTTCACCCAGTGGCGAAGGTTTGGCCATGCATGACCCCAGGGGGTTAATCATCTTCGAGATCGTGAAATATATGACAACCCACTTACCAAGGATTGCTCTGTTAGAAAACGTGGCCGGCTTAGTTGAACTCCATCTGGACACGTTCGTCAAGATAATCAGCATGCTCCGCGAGATCAAGGACCCGCAGTTCGGGGGCCAGGCTTACAGCATCTTCCACAGAATAATCAACTCGTGCGATCATGGGCTCGTCCAGTCCCGCCGGCGGGTGTACATAGTGTGCATACGACGGATGGGCAGACATAAGCTGGCCATGGACTGGCCAGTTGCAGAGTCGAGACCTCCACTGAGCTCGCTGTTCGATCCTGGCTCCAAGCGCCTGAAGACATATCGAGACTACCCAATGGAGGGCCATTCAGAGAGGGTTAAGAAGCACCTGGAGAACGCAATCACCAAGGTCGGCGTCTACGCAGAGGCGAACTGCTTGGTCGCAGAGGACGCGCCCGTGATTGTCGACACCGATGGCGCCAAGCTGAATTTCAAGATCGATGGGGCCCCATGCCTGACAAAGGCCCGTGGGGGTAGCCGCACTTTCTGGAGCCTTCAGCATGAGAGGTATTTGACGATCACCGAAATTATGCGATTGCAGGGCGTGCCTACAGACATCCCAGTCTCTTCTGAGCGCCAGCTTGGCATGATGCTTGGCAATGGTTTCTCAGTGCCTGTGATCCGCAAGGTGATCGAAGCATCAATCGCAGCTGCAGAGTCTAGGAGCCCCTTTGCCTGACTAATTGGCTCGCAAGCGTCAGGGCAACGATAGCCGCCGCCAGCCTCAAAAACGGCACCGGGCCCCCAGGGAGGGCCCCCCCCCCCCCTTCCTGGGGACTCGGTGGCGGCACCGAGTTCCCAGGGGGAGGAGGGGGGGTGGGGGGGGCCTTTCCCTGGGCAGCCCAGCGATAGGATTCATAAGGATCGCACCATGCCCAGGTGGGGGGGGTCGCAGCAACTGGGCTCATTCATTTGACACCCCCCCCTTGGTGATCGGTGGCGCCACCGAGGTCCCAGGGAGGCCCCCACCCCCCCCCCCTCCCTGGGAACCCACAGCGTTCGGAAGCCCCTTCTGGAACCAGAGGTCTTCTCGTTGCATCTTCGCCAACGCCTCCAGGCTTGCGGCTTGAGCCAACATGGCAACGGATGAGAGGGTCAGAAGGATGCAGGAGAGCAAACGCGGAGGGGGGGAGCAAGAGGTCGTCGTCGAAAAGCCGTCGTTATCACCGCCCCCCTTTTTTTTTTTTTTTTTTTGTTTTTTTTTTTTTGTGTTTTTTTTTTTTTTTTTTTTTTTTTTTTTTTTTTTTTTTTTTTTTTTTTTTTTATTTTATTTGTTTTTTTTTTCCGCGAGATTACCACACCACCCCGCCCGCATATCCATCAGCAACATCACGCATCATCTAACGGCAAACAATTCATGTATTAGCGCGTGCGAGGCGATCTTGCGTCCGATGGACCCCCCAGCAATAAACGTTGTAAGAGACCCCCCCCCCCCCGGCCCCCCGCCGCTGCCGTTGCATCGACGCCATCCGCAGCCATTTTCAGGATGACTGTTGCGCTTCAGCTCGCGGGTATGAGTTGTCCGCGAACGTATTTTTTATGGGGCCAGACCGCTCGTCCAAGGCTCGTGCCATTTGGGGGGGGATGAGCGATTCCTGGAAGCATGAATTCAAGCTAGATCCACATCAACCCAGCCTCGGGTCGTGGCTTTGTGCTCGTGGAAATCCTGGGGCCTTTGGCGTTGGATGCAAGGCGTGTCACCTGATGGGGCGGAGATCGGAATTCGGCGCTATTTCGTTGAGGTCGCCCAGGCAGCTTCGAGCCCAGCGGTTCAAGAAGCATCAGAAGAGCTTGGGGCACCTCAGGGCGGTGGCTTCGATCACAGGCTCACTGGATATGAAGACGCGCGCCGACCAGCTCGAGGACGCAATGTCCGCCCCCCCGGCCGCGGAGTTCCAAGAAGTCCTGGACGACAGAAGGGGCGGTCCATGCACGCTTGGGCGTCTTATGAAAACATGCTCTGCAGTCAAATCTAAACGCATTCAATTCTGCCTTGCTGAAGCTAGGCGCATGTATGCCCGACGGCATCTCCAGATGTGCAGCTCGTTGGCTACCCATTCTGATAGCAAAGCGCAGCGACTCACTGTTCGCTACGCAGCCACGCGCTCCACGGACATCTCGGGGGCCCGGCGCGGCTCCATCGGGCACGTGGAGTACGTGCGGGAGAAGGGGGCCGACGCCGCCATTTCAATCAAGGAGAAGTTCGGCACCATTATACGCAATTTCTGTACTTTCGGATTTGGGGCGCCAGGGACCTCGTATACTCCTGCGTTTGACAGCCGACTCTATGATCACATTTTGTCAATCCATGAGGTTTTCGATTCGGATGTTGATCGCACTATGCTGCTCGCAGGCGTGGAGGCCACTGGAGCAGGTGGGTCTACGCGCGCCCTTCTGCCTAACAATAAGCTGCAGATCCCGGATGGAACTCGCGCTGCACGGCGGGTGCTATCGCGCCCATGGCAGTGCCAAGAGTCCATCAGCACCATCGTGAAGACCGTGGTGACTGACAAGACGAGCATCATGCAGCGAGTTAAGGATTCGATTATTTTCACGCAGCGGTTGTCTGAGTACTTGCAAATGCAAGACGACTCCGAGCTGGGCTCAACTGTCACCCGTATACGTAACTTTTCCAGTGCCAAGCACAGGTTTGATTCGACTGTGGAACCGTTGGTAAGGTTCGTGCTTGTATTTCCTGCATTGGTTGCTCTCGCAGCCGACGTGATGGTGCATCGCAAAGGGAGCTCGATTGCTGTAGTTCTGGATATTCTCGAGGACCCGGGGCACAAAGCGACGCTCGCAATGCTAAGGCATGGCATCTGTGTTGCGCTGCAGTGCGCGCGTGCGTTGCTTTGTTCCTTGGGACCTCGGGAGGTCCAGAACAACGGCTGGGAAGCCAACGCAACACCAACACA